ATATGTAAATATAAACCAGTCAGTTACAATTTATATTTTTATTAGCCTGCATAATATCATAAGAAAGTTTTAAAACAAATCAAGTATAAAATATGACCGCTACTGTATTTAAACTATTAATATTATTTGAGATGTGAAAGAGAAAATGCGGTTTTATGTTTCACTATTATTACAAGCATGAAGCAGTAGTGAAACCAAACAGTAGGAAACAAAGTCTAGTATCGATTAAAAAATTGTTTAGGTAGTTTGAAACTATTTAAAACCTGAAGAGCATATTTTATATTTATGATGATACCTATCTATAGTTCTAATCTGACCGTCCGTTTGTTATTGCAAAAACGGCATAAGGTCAGTTTAGTACCTATTTGTTGTCAAAGCAAAGATACAATCTAAATCGAGCCGTAAACCAAAAAAAAATGTTGTTTATAGAATATTATTATTCTGGATGGTTGTTTACTCAAATCTGTTATCTTGCAGAGCACCGATGGTCTTAATGATATCTGATTAAATCGAAAACTCCCGAAGTTATTATCTCACGGAATAATCGGGTATAAAATATGTATAATAATGGTATTGTGAAAATTAATTTTTAAATATTTACATATACAAATATAAAAACAGTATAGGTACTCTTTTAGTTATAAAATATAAATTAATTCAAACATATTCCAAGTATATATAATATATATACACAACAATGTATTTTGTTTTATGGCGGTCAACAATGCCCGACAAAACGACGTAAGTATGCTGTAATAGACAATAATAGACAATAATAATATCGTTTATAACATTTCACATATTTGTCAATGAAATATTATTGTCACAATACTGCATAACTATAGATATTAGATGCAGATAATTTTCAAATTTACATTTTTCACAAAACTTCCTACATAGCTAATAACTTGTGCTTGTATTGTAGGGTAAAATTTAACAACATAATTAAGTAAGTTTTTGAACTTCCAAATACATTCTTTTGATATTTCAGTCATTTTTTTTATACGCAGTAGCACGTGAAACTATTCTTAACGAGCCTAAAACTCATACAAACTTCTAATAATGTATAAAAATACAAATCGTTTTAAATAGCAGAAAAACATTGGAATTTAATTAAAACAAAATAGTATTTATTTTTAAAATAAGGTAAATTTCAACTTGAGCGTAATGCTCAAATAAATTATTTATTCTCCAGATAAAAGTTAATAAAGCTAACAAAATATATAGAGTAATTTAACATTTCACCAGGCCTATTTTGCTAATCATCCATATTTTGTTCTATAGTAAAGGATTTCTTAAAATTACGATTTTTAGAAGTTCTTAGTATGCAATATACAATGTACAATGTACATAGGTACTCAAAGATATAATACTTTCAAGTATTTACATTTTTTATGCTATTTAAAGTGTCACTGCCAAGAAAATCTGAAAATTCAAACTTATATTTTACAGTAAATTGTTAAGCAAATGATTTTTTTTAAATTTTGATGTATGTCAATCAAAAATTCAAATAAGTAGTTTTTGAACTATTAGAATATATACACTTAAGATAACATAGTTGGTTAAAATTATTTTAAAATATGATGTAAACTATAATGATTTTAAAACTATATTTTTTACTAATTTATAATATGAGAATTCATAATTTGTAAAAATTATCTTATTAAGATAATAAGTAATAACTACAATAAGTAATAAATACTGGACTGAATATTGCCAATATTTGCATTTTATGCGAAACCATTATCAACCTTAGAACATAAAGTTCAATAACTCAGAAACTATTCGTTGTAATCTTTATCTTGATGGATTATTAAGAATTTGTTTAAAAATGTACAGTAACATAAGAATGGTTTTAATTTCAAAAAAAAAGTTTATATCTCAACAGTATACTTTTTAAATGGTACAAAAAAATATCTGAGTATCTGAAAATAAAGTTCATAAATATGTTACCTATATAATAAAATTCCAAAAATCGAAATATTTGAATAACCTCCAGCATATTTGGTACATCATCTTGTATCTAAACAATAAACTGGTAGAAAATTTCAACCTAGGAAAATCCTTTATATATAATAGACAAGCAGTACCTAAATATATATTATGCGAATAATAATTTGACCAGAACAAACCATGTGGTTATGAAGACGTGAGACCCTCCCCCCCCCATACTATACATATAATGTATTCGTTCATCTTACACAAATTGAAAAATATAGCAAAATTCCAACACGAAAAATCGACCTTGTGGGGTCTACGTTAATATTAAACTTACATACTGCCAAATCTTAAGAGGAAAATATTTCCAAGATGGAGTCGTATCCTTTTTATAAAATATTTTCCAACGACGTAATATGAAGTTACAGTATTTCACATTTTCTTATATACTATCTAGTTATTCTGTTCGTATAATAATATGTATTAATTATTATTATATTGAAACTTCTTCGTTAGAGAATATTTTACAAAGAATGATAATGTGACATTATCTTCAAAATACTCTTCTCAACACATTTTTTAGTTAAACTTATATCAACCGAAAACTATGCTTTTGCTCAGTGGAATTTTGTTTTGGACTGCATTGACGGCATGTATGGATGTGATACACATTCACGTATCTTAAGTTAAACTCTGTCGTCTCAAATTATTATTATACAGAATTTTAATTATTAACGATTATAGTATATAATACGGTGTATACTGTATAGGTACCATCACACTACGTATATATTATTATATTGTATACCGTTTTTGGAAGTCGACATGAGACGACGCAATGGTGGACCCCTTTACAATATTAAGAGAGAGAGAGAGAGAGAGAGATAGAGAGAGAGAGAGAGCGATACAGAGATGATTTAAATTACAACGACATAAGTTTCGCCGCCCTTACTCAATAACGCAATTTTCACCGGTGTTTTGGGCACAAGAGTATTCACGATGGGGGGGAGGGGGAACCGGCGAACCGGCAGATATCGGGATTGTCGCACGCGGTTAGTCTGGACTCGACGGGGGGTCAATTGAAAGTGTTAGAGGGTGCGTGTAATGGACAAAGAGAAGGGTTCGGGAAATCCTTTTTGGCGTTGAACAGATTATAAATTATCACGCAGCAATAATATACTCTATATCTAGCAGCCACGCAGGGGTGGTACGAGAGACACTTTCGATCGACCATAATAATATTATATACAAACATAGCTAAACGCGCACTATAAGATTTGATTGCGTTACACGGTTCTGGTAGAGTTGGGGAGGGGGGATTTAGGATTTTTCCAAGTTGAGAAGGGTTGGAGGAAATTTAAAAAAAACCCAGACATCCGTATTGTGATATGCCCCCCGCCATCAAATCCTAGATAGTTTTAAAAATCAACCGAATATAAAATATAATAGGCAATGACGTATTGTATCGCTTTCGAAGACTTGTTTTGAAAACAATACCGACAGCCAGTGATGGCATCGATAATATCAATAATAAGCTCTCACAGAGTCGTGAATGGATTATATTATTTATGCATGTATAAAAACAACGTATGACGTGTATACACACTTATAGATATTAATATATTATACTACTGTCGTTCGATGTTTCATTTATTTATGGTTTAAATACGCTTAGGTGCTACACTGCTATACCGCGTATTCAATTCCATATAATATTTTCCATATATTGATACGACACGGTAACAGCAGTCGACTACTAATATAATACGAAATTCGTGAAAACGGCTCTTCTCGAGTCGATTTGTTACATAAAACATAACTATACGCGTAGATAGTTTTGTAGAAATATAGGGATAAACTCTGAAATTCGAATGTATACGAGAAAACGATCTAAAAACACTTAGCGAACAACCACAGACTATAAAATGTTCGCGTCGTTGGGATTTTTTTTTTTTTTGTTTTCTTTTTATATATACTTAGGGAAATTAGATTCTTATTGGATTTCGTCATGAACTTTCGATACGGCGTTACGGTTGCATAATGTTTAAATCATTTTGCCGAAACGAAGACATTTGATACAAACGAATAATGCGTATAATATATATATACCTACCCATGGATTCGTATGGGGTTTTTGGGTAGGTTAATCGAAACGCCGATGATAAATTTGGTTGGGTGAATGTGACACCAGGTGGTAGGTATAGGTATTCTATTTGAGGGAGTCGGACCATAATATTATAATAGCTATTTGTCTCCCTATTTTCTTGTATAATAATATGTCATTGGCCCGCGTCGCATATAATACTGTAATTTACATAATATTATCAATCATAAGGTCTATATACTGGCAATCGTTATTTGAAATATGAATGTACAATATTATGGCCTACACAAATATAATACACGACTAAGCCTGGATAAATGGTCCAATAAATATATGGCACACAGCGCATATAATAATATATCATGTATATAAATTATATTTTGTTGAAATGTTGTTTTTATTAATTGTGGTTCGGAAGTTATTAATCTGCAAATTTATTACAGCCACCCACTCAATTTAAGCTGAACGAAAAGATTTATCGTACAAAAAAAAAAATGTCTTCGATTATGGAAAATGATGTAAGTTTAAAATGGGTTTACTCATACAACATCTAATTTCGGAAACTGGTTATAATATTTACCACTAAATTAACCAAGAAATTATTCTTGTTTTTACTTTCGTTTTTAATCTGTAAAAAATGAAATGACAAAAAAATATGTTAATAGTTAATAATTCCACTCTCGACGATTTCCTACTACTACTTGTGCGCTTTCTGCTGAATTGTAAGAAATGAATAGGTAAGCATACTACCACGAAAGTCAAACCACAGTAAAAAATTAATATGTGATTCTTCTTAAAAATGTAATTTGAAATTCTTATTATAACACACGACACTGTTTTGGTATTAAAATGTTTGTACGGGTAAGTACTACAGTACCATAGGTGGTGTACCTAAAGAGTAAACTGAAAACGTATTTATTTGGGTATTATAATATTATTAATTCGTCGTGACACTAACCTTGTCGGTTTTGACATCGATGGCGAATATCCTGGGCTGAGTCCTGCGGACAGGCTGTTCCATGGTGTTGACCAACCCGCTGTCGAGCACCCACAGCACGCCGGTCGCGTCCAGGTACACGTCGACGGCATTCTGTATGGCATTCGGATCACCCTCGTCGTGCAGTGACCAGCACGGGTACGGCACCAGCACTGGCCAGCATCTGTGCTCGCATTCCAGCCGGACAGTGGACACGGTGAACGGCACGCCGGACCGGAACCTGGGCGTAAGCACGAACGCCCGGTCGCCCCACACTTGGGCCCTGGTGACGATCACGTTCTTGGCCACGTACCGCCCGGTGTCCGCGTAAACGCTCTTGGTGGACGCGCACGGCCACTCGATGTTCTGGCCGCTCAGCGTGTACGCGGCCACGTCCGCCGGGGAGTCCGAGCCGGCCACCCGATGGTCGCCGCCGTATACCGCGGCCACCGCGGCCATCATCAACGCCGCCGCGCGGAAACCGGACATTATTGCGGGTCGACCGGATACCGGGTATATACGAGCGGTATGTATAAGCTCTTGGTTACAAACCAACTTCAGTTTCTTGTGGTACAGTGCGCGGTGGTAACCGGGAACAGCGATGTATATATTGCGGGAGACCGCGTTGAACTATATTATTATATACTCGATGGCGAAGACCGGCAGACGACTTGCAGATATGATCGCTATCGGACCTGATGCCTTCAATTATTATATATTGTAATGTAGTTATATTTTTATAAATGCTCCGCTATCGTGCCATACGTGTCAGTTTGTCGTACTTGCAACAATATATCGGCGTTTTGTTGTTTTTATTTCGTTGTCGTATCGCTGGTTTATGCATATATTATTAATGTGTATTGTGATATGCGTTTTTGTTTTTGGTTTTTTCGTCATTTTCGTAAACATTCCTCCGCGCCTGCAGTGGCATTGGCTCGAACGTGTCGGGCCCGCTGTCTTCGGCGGCGGCGGCGGTTCGACCGAAGGCCAAGGCCTCTGCTCGCCGAATAATTGTATATTGGTCGTGACGATAATATTTATTAATTTTTATCATCGTCGTCGCCTACCGAAGCGATTTGACCATCGGACAGCATTTTCAGTTTTTCGTCGTCGAACTATGAAGGTATCTTTTTTTCCAATCTGATGTGCGATAAGCCGATAAACCCTATAGAATACTGGTATTAATTGAAATTCTTTTACAGTGTAGTTAGACTGGCAGTATTGTGGCTTATTATCTATTGCATAGATCGAAATAACCAATAAAAAATTGTAGTACCTATATAATTACAATTTAACATTTGAGTACAGTTGTAACAATGGTCGTAATTAGTAATAACAAAAAGCATTTATAATGTCATTTTTACACGGACCAACTGAATCTTTCTTGTAATAATTTAAAACAATATTTTATTCGTAATGATGTGTGTTAAACAAATTGTGATTGTAAATATTTTGTCATCAAAAAGCAAAACGGTATTAAATTAAATATTTATATATTAATATTTAATTGGCTTTTTTTGCAATATAAATAATATCCTTAAAATAAAGTTCCTACTAGTTTTTCTATATTTCTTCACATGACACCGTAACATTAAAGCCAAAAGCTTAAAAAACCATAACCGATACCTTAAGGCTTTATAAGTACCAATACAGTAATACCGAATAACTTTAAAATCCGTTTGCAAAACTAGAAACTCCTAAGTCGAAATCGTTAAAATTTTAACGGTTGATGATAATAACTACTACTAATATAAATATAACGATTAACGTCTACAACTGTATATGCGTACAGGGTTAGCCAACGATCGGTACAGGTATTGCTGTTGAATCGAGTATCCGTCAGATTTACCTTTTTTTTGTGGGAAACTCGAGTAGGTATAGTTCTATGCAGCTTTTGAAACCGTCACGGCAATTCGACGCACTCGATATAAGACCCGAGACCGTAAAAACGAAAAATATAGTGACAACAATAATTATAATTATGTATACGTCATATTATAGTGCCTGGACGCGTTTAAACCTCAATGATAAAATAAAAATAGAAAATCAGTCGTCGTCGTTGATTTTGTATGATACCGCTGTGGTCGCATGCGTGAGGCTAAAAAACACCCATCTGCAGCTGCGCACACACCACAGACCGTCGTCGAAATGGAGCTGCGTGTCGCGTAATATCGTTTTGTTTGCCGTCATCGTATTATAATATTGGGTAAGTATACAATATTATCATGTTATGTGCTGTGGCCGGATGACAGTTCACGTCCAGGACTGTCGTGTAGACATTAGCGAAACTCGTACGTGTTCGTAGGCTACCACTACTTTCGTAAAAATTGTATATTTTTTTTCCGATTCATTTCGACCAACTGCGAAAACAAAACGACATTTTTAGTGCGTGATGAACGTGATAATTCAATTAAAACTTTAAGCTCGACGTCATTTTTTCGTTTGAGCTGTCAGTTCTTTTTGGGTATTTACTGTCGCAATGTAATACTATTAATGTATAACACACGACATCTGTGCCTAGGTGTATTACTGTATATTACGTAATTATTACGATTGTTATTGAATGACGCGAGTCGGGGTGTCTGGGCAGTCTGCAGATAACGAAAAACGTATCTGTCTATGCATTCCAATAAATGCATATTACACGTATATCGAGTAATAATGTGTATTTAATGGGTCTATAAAAAAAAAATGTTTTTTTTTTTCATTTTGTCGACGTAAAACAACCACGTATTCATGTACGTCATCCGTTTAAATGGGTTATTGAAATCTAACGACTCTAACCAATTCGTGTTTAAACCTCATCAGTCATCACTCTTATAAAACGGGCTAACACAAAATCTGACGTAACACATACGTTCGACAATAGTTTTATTACTATTCTAGTGTTCTTTGTAACGTATATGCGAGGCATAAATGCATAATGCATACAGCTTTTGGACATTTTCTTTGCTCATTTTATATTGTGGTCGACACACTAATAATTTGACCGAGCCTAATACTCTTTTCTGTTTTTTAAATATTATTAAATAGGGTGTTAACAATCTATGAATGATTTTTTTTTCTATAGCAACGTACCTCTGATCATACGCTTGCTCCGAATTAGCTGCAAATAACAAGAAACCACCCTACAGTGACATTTCTTTTTGTGTGATTATATTACAATATTTTAAAATTTATTTTTACATACCTTTGCATATTTGATTAAAAATAAAGAAATATATATACATAGTTGCATATTTCTGCATAATAATTATTAATGGCAGACAAAAGTCATGAAATAAGATCATCAAAGAAAATACTTAAAATTCTTAAAAATATTGAGAAGAATGCAGAATACAAAGATATTCCGTGACAAATTTACTGTTGAAGCTTATAACTTATAACTTATAACCCTACAATTCATAACTATGAATGCACTATATAATATTAAAACTACTTTAAAATTTCTTTTTTAAGCTAAAATTAAAAATTATTTTATAATAAGTGAATGTAAAAACTCAAAAAATTTTTGGATTCTTAAATTTGTTTATCGTTTGTGTAGATACATTTTTCTTATAAAAACTTCTTTCTTCTTTTAATAATTGTAAAAAAAAAAAATAATTTTGAATACTCTAAGAACTGTCTATTAATGATGACCGTATTTTTAAATATTAAAAAAGTAAATATTAATTATAATTTGTTGCACATTAAATATTGATGTAGATAATTTTGAAAATATGAATATCAGAATATGACAAAGACTGAAATACGTATACCTACAATAGTACAAACATTTGTGTAGATATATATTTCACCATTTTGTTTTGCACATAAATCTCAAGGGCCCTAATTATAATGTATTAATGCCTAATATTATTATGTTTGCTGTTTATTACTTCCCATCGATGGACATCATCACCGTTCATTATATAATCATTATAAAATATGTAAAACACATAATAATATGTTGTAGGTAGGTCGTTCCTAAAACCCACTAAACAATACGATTTATTTATGATAAATTAGACTCATTCGGCAGTAATTTAATTTGTATGCGTATTATAGTTGTAAAAGTGGCGTGTACACAAGCACTATATTATACCTACAGTCTACACACACAAATATCCGGTATCGCCTTTTACATTCGGAGCACACTCGTGACCGGTTTATGTAATAACAGTAGTTGTTGTAACTTCTGCGGATATCTCATCTGATCTACTGTATAAGATAGACCTATAACGGACGTTTGTTCTTTTCTCTCCCGCACACAACGTCCTATAAACAACGATAAAGGGTTTACGCACGGAGCATTACGTAAACTTCCTTCGCTTGTAATGTCCACAAATAATGTAGTACAACAAAAACGAAAAATCCCCAGAATAGTAAACACCGCCGAAATCCGTAACATAATACCTACCAACCTAACTTGTAATACGCAACTCGCATAACACTGGTCCCCGCGGTATTATTATGTTTTAGGTCCGAGAAAACAATGATTTGCGGACAAGTTAAAAATTGGTCTCCGAGCAATGCGCGGACAGAGACGTACATAAAAGTCATTATATTATATGAAACCCAAGCTGCGTATGAGTGCACAATATTCCTTAATACGACCAGGTTAAGACGTTTAATAAATATTACAAACTGTACGATAGTAATTGATATTTATTTAAAAAATGATACACAATTCATTGGTGCAATAGTATTATTATACAGCAATACAACATGTTTCGATTGAGAAATAAATATTAAAACAAAATATGACGCCCAAACAACAAAGGAGTTTAAAAATCACAGTTTATGAGATACTGGTAAACTGTACAGGTATTGTAATTAATTATATTCGTGTAACCGCATGCATCATCACACTCACGTGAGTGTCAAAATCACGACAGCTCGAGGATAATTTAAACATAATTACATAAATTCGATATATTTAGATTGGTACATTTAATAAAATATATGGTATACATAATTTTAAACAACAATTAGGTACGAAAAATGTACAGTGTTTTAATTTAAAATCGTTCAACTGATATTAAAAGTTTTTATTCATACTCAGCTAAACTGTAAGTACCTACGAAGTACTTCAAAGTACAGTCTAGATTCAATTTCCTACCAATAGATAGAGCTGCATGGAAGCCTTTAGGACTTTTTCATTAGCTACCTACCGGAAAAAATTTTAAAATCAATAAGTACATATATTATTTACTATTTTGGCTGACACAATCCAAAAATAAACCAAGTAAAAACTTACGTTAGGTTTACGAAATGTTGTGCATGACGTGCCACCGTAAATAATTTATTATATATTGTACATACTAAGTACAGACCAGGCCTGATTTACGATTTTTTGGGGCTAAATATATAAATATGAGGACATCCCTATTAGAAATAAAAGCTACACACCATAACAGACTAAAAAGTAAAAACTTAGATCAGTGATAATCTAATATTATTCAATTCCGTATACATTAATGTATTATCATTCCGAAAAACATCTGCAATGAACCTCTCACAAAATGACGTATGTTTCAACCTACAATTTACAAAGCAGTTTTTTGTTTTGATAGATATTCCATTTATGCACGAGATATTATCCCGTACTCAAGATTTCCATGAATCGTTTTAGTATGGAACAGAACACAACACTGACCTGCCTTTGACACCTACCTTATAATATGAGAGAAATGTTGATACTTTATATCTTGAAGCTTTTCAATATATTGGGACTAGATCACCTTGGAACTCACTTAGTACCAAGAAGGTAGGTACCTACTATTGATTTAATAAAAAAAAACTGAAAATGACTCTTTTGTTGGAAAAGTATTGCACCGTTAATAATTTTTGTTTCAATTTTTGTTTTTCTGGTTTTTTAAGTTTTGAATGTTTTTAGAAGTTTAATGGTAGTATTATTGTCCATCTTAACACGTGTCTAATACGTCCTGTATACAATATAAACAATATAAAAGTTAGGTACCTATGTTTACTCATTACTCAATATAGGCAGATAAACTTTATAACAAGCCTCGTGAAAAACAATTTTGACAGTTTGTTATACTAATTTATACTGAGATCCACATGATAATAATAAAATAATCTAGATGTCATCATTCAATATTACAATACGTTATCCAATAATAAGTCAAAAGTATTCAAACTAATTTGGATTCCTATAGTCATTCATCAATAAAATACAACGAAAATTCTGACCTGCTAGCTAAAAAAAACAGCATCAACAGTTTCCACAAGCCACAGGTAATATGGCAAACATCTCAGCCCAGGGTACTAAACGTACAATAAAACTGATATCAGCACAATTCTGGCAAAACCTCTGGTCTATACAAACAATTAAGTTTAATGAAATAAGCAATCAATCCTACATTGGCCTAATAATCATTCAAACAGAAAAATAGAAAGCAATATCAATAAACTTTGAACGGGTCACACCAGACTTACCCATCATGGATACCTGAAGTCCCGAGAGGAACCTCCCATATGCACATCCTGTAGTGTCAATCTGTCTATAAAACACACTATGACTGAGTGTAACACTTACGTTGATACAAGGATCCGTAATAAATTACCTGAGGACATAATATTCGAAAGCTTCAGACCAAACTTACCATTATCCAACATCATCTCCTTCCTCCGGCAAACTGGATTGGCCAATTTAATTTAAGCAACATTATTATTATATAAAAATGTATCTATTTCACATCACAATCGTTTCTTAGCACTTAAGTTATATAACATTGTAACAAATATTAACAAAAAAAATTGTATTATCACAATGAACTTGATGCCAAGGGTTATTTTTAAATTAAAAAATAAGTAAATCACACGATTTACCAACAATAATAAAATATGTATTCAATCGTAAATTAAGTATGCAATTTATGCTTTAAAAATTAATCGCATTATTCGCATCACAATAATATTGACAAAAACATATTATGTGTGATATCGGTCACCGAGACATTCTACCCCAGTGTCGTAAATCTATAAAAACTAATTAAAAGCAAAATAATTCATTATCTAAAATCAAAACCTAGACCACCCTCCTTCCCAGTTTGGATTTATTTTTATTCTATGTAAACAAATATTTGCTTATTTTTACGCAAGTCTGAAGACTCATATTATGGTTTAGGAACAAATTGTAGGTAGGTATTAGGTTAGGTCAGTACTCATATTGATGAATAATATTAAGTGTATTACGAGAATTCATTAATAAAAAGATTGATGTAATATCTAGGGGTTAAAATTATACATTTGCCCCATTCTAAAAATTTCAGGGGGCAAGTGCCCTCCTTTCCAACTACAAAAATACACCTCTGCAAATCTTATATTTCATTTCACACAGTTTTCTTTCATAACAGTTTAATAATAAATTGTGACGCTTTTTCGGGATGTGATTCAAAGGCCTTCACACACGCATTTTTCCAACTCATACTGAGCAGTGAGCACGTGTAAGTTGTAGCATGACAAAACTGGTGTAATTATACATGTAACTGTAATCTGTAACACCACTTACGACC